TGAGAAGCTAAAGCCACTTCCGCATGAGTTCGATTCCCGCCTGCCCCGGAGGAGACCACATGGCGCGGCAGACCTCTCCTGCCCGCCTGCTGCTCCCCTCAGCAGTGGACTTCGTCGATCTGCCTGTTCTGCTCCCCACTGTCTCTGGTGAAGCCTCTCACCCTCCGCATCTCTGACCTGTACCCCAGTTCTGTACGAATAAATAATTCTTTAAAAAAAAAAGATAAATTCAGTACTCTAAAATCCTAGAAGCTATTGTAAAATATTTACTAGTTTCTGAATTGCTTCCTGCCCAGTGAGAAATCACCAACAAATGGCCTAAGCTATGGTACCCTTCAGCAGAGACTTACTGGCAGGTGCTCACTCTGAGGAGTGGGCCCACAGGCTTACAGGAGGGCAACCTCCACAGCGCCCTCAGCTCCATGTCCTGCAGGCGCTTTCTAGCCCCAGAATCCCTTAGTGTGGAATCTGGGAAGGGCAGTACAACAGGTCGGTTACGCACACACCCAGCAGGTACACCCAGAAGCGTTAAACTTGAGCTTGCAAAGGTTTTGAGAAGCCTATGAGAACCAGGAAATGGCCAGAAGCCAGAGCTTCAGTGCCAAACTTCACTCAACTTTCTCTCAACATTTTGCAGGCTGGATTCATGCAAAAGGAATAAGAACAAGGAAGACAAGGACCTACTTTTCTGTGTGGGTAAGCCACACAGAAATGTTATTGTTCCCAAGTCTTCAGATGGATAAGGGACAAGGTATGTGTGTTTAGGGGTGTGGAGGGTGGGGTTTGCACTGAAAATGGTAAGGAAAGGAATTAGGGGTGTGGAGGGTGGGGTTTGCACTGAAAATGGTAAGGAAAGGAAAATGCCCTGGAAAACCCACACATAAAGAGGCTCGCCCCCATGGAGCCGGGACCCTAGGAGGAGGACTGAATCTTGAGAACCAGGCTCCACCTGCCGGGATGGGAACTCAGGAAAGGCTGCAGCTGGAAACCTTTCAGCAAGACAGTCACACTAAAGGATGGTGCCAGAGTCGGCTGAGCAGCAGCAGCTCTCCCGATGCAGACATAACAGCCTCTGTGCGTGCGCAAAGGACGCTGAGACTGCAAAGTAGCACCAACTGCACTAGGGCTGAATTCCTGATCTGGCAATAAAGTGAAATTGTACCTAAAGGTTAAAAGTGGTTTCGATTCCGAAGACAGGTGCTTCATTTTTGTATTATTTTTGTTAATTTTTGCCAATTTCACAAATTACTTTCAATCTTGATCTCTCCACTGAGAAAGTCAAAAAAAGAAATAGCTTCTAAAATTTCACTTTTACAAGTAAAAATTAATAACTTTCAACCTATGCTATGCCTTTTCTCTGGCTTACTTTCAGTAGTTTCTTAAAACTCTAGCTATAAGAGCACTTTTTAGATTGGTTTGTTTTGTAAAGTCCAGAAAATGATTAACCAATGTCTTTTTTCTTAAAAATACCAGTTTGCACGTCTTTTTCTTGCAAAATGGTCAACAAATACTGCTTAAGAGAGAAGAATTCGTTTCAAAGACAGTTCATTCATTTTTCTGGGTGGAGTACTTCAGGGAATGGAAAAAGAGAGAGAGAAACCCACACCCACCCACACAAAAAAGATGAAACAGAAAGGAAGGGGGAAGAGGTCAGGAGGGTGAAGGCAGGGCCACAGTATGTTCCAACAGGTCCCTGCCACGCCTAAGATCTGGGAGTGGAGACAGGCCGCAGCTGGAGAAAGTCGGTCCAGGGAGGTCGTCAGGCTGCAGCCTGGGCCAATGGGGAGGCTGAGGCGCAGGCACACCAAATTGGGGAGCAGACTGGGAGGAGCCTCGGGCACAGCAGAGGCTCAGGGCCTCCGCTCCGCGGCCAGGGCCCGCCCACCAGCCCTGCGCTTCCCTGGAGTGCCTTGTACCTCGTGAGATGGACACTGGGCTTCCGAGAGTCACCAGGGGAGGGCCCTGGGGAGGGAGGGTGACCAGAGGTGTTTGTAAACACATCGGCTCCACCCCTAGACAGAGAAGGAACTTGGCAAGCAAAACCTCAAGGGCTTCTGAGGTTTCCAAACACTCAACTGATTCCGCAGCGCTAAGATAAACGGATGTAAACAGAAATCCTCGTTCAGCGACAAAGGCCAAACAGGGAGAAAGGCAGTTCAAAATTACAACTTTTCCTGAAAACATTCTACCAGTGAGCGAACTGGAGTGGTGACAAGAACCCGTCTCTCTGGGACAGGCTCCGGGAAAAGGCTCCAGCGAGACAGTGGTGTGGGGGCGATGCCCCCCCCCCCCCACCAGCCCAGCTCTAGCCAGCAGAGCTGGTTAAATATAAACTCAAGAGACCGCCTCCGCTCAGGCTCCGCTCAGGCTCTGGCAGCACCAGAGGACTTCCCAGAACCGCTCCAGCCCACACCTGCCCTTCTGCTTAGTAAAACTCCCCTCTGCCTAATCTTTTATCACTGTCTCCCTTCTAACACAAAAGCAACTTTAATACTCACAGCTTTGCCTGAGTATTAACCAGCTGCTACTGTTCATATTTTGAGTATTAGTGGGAAATATATTCATTTTATGAAGGCTTCCAGGTACCAACCAAAACATCATTCCTAAAAGCATCTATTTGGCTGGATTATAAACTGATTATTAATAATCCCAAACCCGTAAACCCGACCGTTGTTTGCTATGATTTTCACTGCCAGCTTACACAGCACTAGCTGCATGCCGGGGCTCTCTGCTCCCAGCGGTGTGGGAAACACCTGGAAACGTTCTGCAGCTGCTCTCAGCTGCCACCGGAGAAAGGTGTCAGTACAAGTGAGCTGTCGCTGAGATGTAATATACCGTACAGTTCACCACTTAAATGTACAATTTAGTGCTTTTTGGTGTATTCACAGAGTTGTACAGTCATCATTATCTAATTCCAGAACCTCTTCACAACCCAGGAGACCCTTACCTGTTAGAAGTCTCTGCACGTTTTATGTCAACAGAGTAACACAATATATGTCTTTTGTGACAGGTTTATTTAATTTTGTATGTTTTCAAGGTTCAGCTACATTGTAGTGTCTATTAGTACTTTGTTCTCTTTCATGGTCAAATAATATTCCATTGTTAAGAACATATATTTTATTTATCCCTTGACTCATTGAAGACATGTAAGTCATTTCCACTCAGGTCATGAACCTGGTGTACAAGTTCTAGGTGGACCTCAGGGCCCAGGGAGCTGTTGGGTCATGTGGCGATCCTCTGTTTAGTCTTTTGAGTAACTGTCAGACTGTTTCCAGAGTGGTTGCAATATTTTTCTACAAATAGGTTTAAATTATACACATAAAAGGACAGTAGTCCTCCCTCCCTCCCGGGGGTGGGGCAATCCAGACCTCCAGCGAATGCTTGGTGTTATGGGTAGTGTTGAGTCCTGTACATACTTCGTTTTATCCTACCCATACCCATCATGATAAAGCATAATTATAAATTAGGCACAGGAAGAGAATAACAACTAATAATAAAATGGAACAATTATAACAATAAGCTGTAATAAAGTTATGAGAATGTGGACTCTCAAAATTTATTATTGCATGTCATAATTTTGGACCACAGTAACTGAAACTATTGCGTGTGAAACCACTGATAAGGGACGTAAGAACCTCCATCACTCATCAAGAGCTGAGTATCCATGTTTGAGTTTATGTTCACTAGAAGTTGAGAAGAACATTAGATCACATGCTGAATTTTGGGTTTTAGAACAGAGTTCTGCAAGAAATCTTCAAAGGGCTTAAGAAAGAAGTCTATCACAAAGGGTAAGGCCTAAATAGTCACAATGTATTGTGCTCAGCACAGAGCTCACCACACATTACATTCCCACAAGTTACTATTCATTGTATCATCACAGAAATGAGCTTTCTGCTGTGTTTCTATTCACAGGTAGAAATCACACATTTTTACCCTGAAGCCTTCTCCCTACTGCTCATTTTGTAATATGCCAAGGAGGAAAAAATTTAACTTTGTCAACATCTAAAAAATTCCTAAAGCTTTGCAAAGAATTTCCACAAACAGAAAAACAAAGTTCACCAAGTCCTTTTAAATGTCTTAAAAAAAAAAATTAAACCTGTGCTTGCTAACATACCATATTTCAAACTGGAAAAATGATTAAGTGCTTCTTTACTTTTATAAGGGAATCCATCAGAAAATTTAAGTAGTCAATTCCCTAATACATTCAAAATAGTCTCAAAATTCCCATCCCCAGGCAGTCATCCAGAGACATAACTAACAGCGAATAAAATCAAATGCAGAACATTGCTATCCTTTTTCTTTTTCTGAGAAAGCCTCCAGAGCAGAGGGCCTCGGCTTTCGGAGGAACCATGTGTTCAGTGTGTGGAGGTGGCTTACCTGATGGTGCCGGTTGGGGATGGGACAGGGCTGACCAGGCTCCGGAGGTCCGGCTCCGGAATGTGGATCTTCAGGGGGGAGATCTGAGGGTACAGCGGCCTGAGGGGTGATGCCGGGGCCTCTTCCTGTTGTAGCAATGAAGTGAACTGAATCTTGATGGCTGTGCTGGGGAACCGGAAAGTGCACCTGTGGCGAGAGGAAAAACAGCACGTGAGGCCCAGGAGGAGTAAGTGGAGACTCAGCACAGAAAAGTTCTAGTTCCTTAGGTAACAGTAAGGTCTATAACAGAGCTCTCATCATAACGATGGATCATATATGTCTAATGGTGTCTTTTATGCTTTGTTTGCATACTAATGCCATTATTCTTATGTCATGCATGTGAAGGAGAGACATGTCACCCACAGAGGAACAGCTATGATGTCACCTCCTACAGCAGTTCCACACTGCTGTCAAGGCACGTGATCCACAAGCTCACAGAAAACCGGGATACCACGGTCACTTTTTAGACAGGGACTAAGACAGGCTCACCCAGGCTACACAGAAGATAGAAAACAGCCTGCAGGATAAATGAGAATGCCACCCATAAACGAGCTGGCAGGGTAAACCCGCAGTGTAATGGATGGGCGTCACCATTAGTTCTGGGCTTACAACCCACAAGCCTTGGTTTTCCTACTGGCAGAGACCGTGTGCAAACAAACCCAATGCTGACAGCAGTGTGGAAGCCTCCAGTACCCTGGTCACTCCCAATGTGCATGCACGAACCCAAGGTTCAGCTCCCTCCAGGAAATTTCCAACTATGAAGTCTGTGCAGTTTAAGGGCAGAACAGCGTCTCAGTGCTAAGTACACGACTGTTAAAAACAAACACCAAAACCCAAATAAAAGCAAACTGCCCACAGACAGGCAGCAGTCTACCTGTGACAACTGCTTAGAAAAAGTTCCTTGTCAAAATGAGGAGGAGAATTAGAAATAATGTCTACAAACATCCATCTTTGGCACACACTTCTCAGAAAGGCATTATGATCTTCTCAAGTGGCTCAGCTCTTGAGAAGTGTTAAGGTTTCCACAGTGTAACGAGCACAAAGTCTCGGGCAGTAGGCACTTTGGTCACTATCTATTTAAAGAGCGACTCTGCCTTCAACCTCCATGGACATGGCTAACACCTTTTGAATTCTCCTTTAATATAGTAAAATAGACTTTAAAGAACAAGATTTAACAGTAAGCCAAAACAGGTTCCAAAATCATAAAAGGGAGTGAATGGTCACCTCTTTTAGTCCCCAAGGTGCCCCTGAGCCTCCCGAGAGGGAGACCCATGTCTGTGGATGCGCCTTGGCTGCACCGCACCTACCCAGGAAGCCCACACTGCACAGAGAAACCCAGTGAGCTGGCCCTGAGTACTGACTCTTGCAGAGGTGCTCGAGGAGCGGGCTGGCTGGACATTGCTGCTGAGGCCCCAAGATATTCTCTCACTCCGGCTCACCCTGGGCAGCCAGTTCGTGTTCTTGTCCACTGGGACATCAGATGCTGGCGCTTCTCCTGTCTGACTCTGAGAGATGGAGCTCAAACACCACAAGGTGAGGGATGGGGGAACACCTATAGTGTGTGGTCAATGCCACCCCAACAGCTTCTTCTGGAAGTGCCACCTAAGGCTATTTAAATTATAATTTTCTTCTGAGACACAATCAAAGAAATGTTTAATTTTCCCACTTTCTTTCGTTTCTCCATGATTCAGTGGAAGTTTCTACCAGTTACATCACACAAATATGTATTTCTAAGATGTTTCCTGAGGCTTGTGGTCTCCCCAGTTCTAGAGGCCATGTCATCTCTTTTAGGTCACAGCAACATGCATCCCAACTCTTATCCAAGAATGGGCCAGATATCCCCAAACCTGCAAAGCAAGGAACGAGTGTGGCGCTGGGAGTCTGGCTGCGAGCTCCACAGAGGCAAGGGATCAGCTGAGGCGAGTGCTGCCTGTGCCGGACCAGGCTGAGTGAATGGCGCGTGTAGGCGCACACCTCTGTTTTACCACTTCGAGATGAGGGCTACATGGGGGATAGTTAATTTAAAGGTAGTATCTGCGGCTCTTTACTGATAGTTTTTTCCTTCAGTTGCTGCAAACTAACAGAATAGCACATTTTACTTTTTGCCCAAAGGGCACACGAGCAGAGCCCTGGCTTTCTGCACCGCGAGGGCCCCGTCTAACAGATCCTATGCCGCCACAGTCACCAAGACACCTAGCAGGGGTGAGGTTTCTGGCCTCAGAGGTCCAGAAACAGACAGGAGACTCTCAGAAAACTGGGTGGGGGGTAAAGACGAAAGCGGCACATGGTCCCTGTGCTGGGAACATGAAAAGCAGGCTTCTGGTGAGGGGTGGCTGAGCCGAGAAAGGCGCACGCCCAAGGGGCACATCATCTCAGGTGACTCGCAGCACAGGAGAGGGGTTCAGACCCACAGCCCTGACCTCTTTGCGCTTCCTTTTTCTTTGAACAGAAGGCATCTAAGGTGCTTTCCAGTCCAAAAAAAGAGATGACTCTAGATAATATGTGTATAAAGCCTGTTTTTGGTAAGAACCAACATTCTACAGGCCAGGGATTTAGGCATGACAGAGGTAACAACAAAAACACCATCAATAGTGGACACTAGCAGCAGAGTGACCTACTATAACAGCTCTTTTCTAGACAATATAGATTTCCATATTATTGACTATAGCACCTATTTGGAAATACTCTTCCAAAATTAAACAGAGACAGAGTGTCTCCTACTTCAGAGGTGCAGAGAAAACACCAGAAAGCTCCTCCTCCTCCTCCTTCTTCTTCTTCTTCTGTTTTAATTTAATATACTGGCTAACAGAGAGGGTTGGGGTGAGGGAGGAGGAGATGGGGAAGGAGGAGCTAGGGCATCAGCACCAAAGCTTTGGTGGAAGCTCCCTCTTTTTAAACAGACATTCCCCCCAGGGTGCTGTAGTGCTCACCGGTTTACATTTCTCCCTGGAAGGTTTTCATTCCATTGCTGGCCATCGCTATAGTTTTGATGAGCATGTTTTGCAATTAAAGCTGTTCTCTTGAAGGTGCCCAGTCAATCTAAGCAGGTCCCAGTTGCCTCGACTGTGGGGTCCCTGCACAAGGCGAGGATGTGCTTGCTGGAGATGCCGCCCACCCGCCAGCCCTCCACAGGCAGCACCCACCTCAGAGGGAAACTCTTGTCTAAATTTCTGGACAGAAAGTGTGGCTGTCTGGCGGGGCTGGAGAATGGAAAGACACTCTTAGAGTACATGGCTGAAACTGACCGTGGTGATGGTCGCACAACATGGTAACTCTACACAACCAACCGATCTGAACTTAGACGGGTTTCTTAAGACCCTGTTGTCCCATAGCTCCCACACTCAGGGTCTGCTCCAGGCTTGCATGTTTCTCAGACCCATCTGGAAGTCAAAGGCTCCTGGACACAAAGACAAACTGGCAGCGCCCAGGCGCCACATGAGGCTGCCTAGCACTGCTGCAAAGGTGCGCTCCAGGCTCTCTGCTCAGCGTCACCTTTATTCGCATCTCGTCAAGACCAAGGAACCCTGGCCTGCCCACAAAGTTGTCACAGCATGAGAGCAGTTCCCTCCTAAAGGTGAGTAGCCAACTGAGAAAGAACAGACATTTAGGGAGTGTCTGCACGGCACAGGAAGGCAGGGACCACACAAACCTTTTTGAGGGTGGGCCGGTGAGGGGCTCTGAGGAGAGGGAACCTGTGAGAGGAGAATGCAGACTCCCTGCACCTTCCCAAGTAAGCCGGCAGCTGCCACGCAGGCACTGAGGAGCACAAACAGCACATTCAGGAAAACAAGACCTCAGACAATTGTCTTTGACAAGGACATTTCAAAGGGAAAGCTGAATGACCAACCTGAAGACATCTCCCAGGAAAGACAAAACGTTTGGTGGTTTAGTCCATGAGACTGAATTTGAGTTACAAAGGACACCCATTCTCAGGAAGCTGCCTAGAGGAAGGCATGGGAGCTGCCCCACAGACTGTGGGCCCCTCAGTGCTGCCACTCGCTTCCTAACTGTCACAGCAGCTGGTTCTGGTGAAAATAGTGCAGTGCAGTCACGAAACTAAAAATACCGGGTGCTGCATTCATGGTTAGGAAGTGAGGCCACATCGGCACCGGCTGGGAATCTGGTCACCACCCTGTGATGCCCGAGCCTGGACTTCAGTCATGTATATGCTGGAAGCCGGTGGCATTTAACACAACAATGTGATGGTCTGTCAGGCTTGCCGTCATGTGCCAGCCTGAGCCTCAGGACAGACTCCACCATGTCAAGTCCCAGCTACAGCCTCGCCGTAGTCACTGTTCAAGGGGAACAGCCAGGACAGGCCCTAGTCTAGAAACAAAAATAAAAGACCAGGGTTTCAAGAGTGTAGTTGGTCCTAGGAGGTTGGTTATGTTCTTACAAATGTTCACGGAGGCAGCCAGCAGCTTCCTAGGCAGTTCAGCCTAGGAAGCCATGAATCTGGCCTGTGAGTGTGACTAGCCATCCAGCCTAACCCGTGGACGGCACCAGGAATCAGGTCAGTGGCAGGCCACCTTCAGACCGCCCACAGAGGCTAGTGGGCAGATCCTGCCAGCAGGCAGATGCGGGGGCTACCAGGCGGGCCACCCTCAGAACTCCCCTTTTGGGGATTGGGCTTTAGGAATGGATGGCTGTGGGGGCACACGTGTAGCAAAGACAGCCTGAACTTCATAGAAAACTGCCACTGCCTGAGGAATGAGTGTTTTTATGTTGGAAGGAACACAAACATGGGTGCCCACAGGGCAGTCTGACAGATGCAAAGTGGATACATATCTGCTTCCCCAGCAAGCCAGCTCTAGCCGGACAATCAGTTGTCCCACTAAAGACAACTCTTGTCTTGTAACCACGAATGGCCAAAAGGATGTGAACGGTCATGCCCTTCAGAAAAGCGGGGTGTCTTTTCTGCTCCCCAGAGTGCGGGAGCAGATTCTAGAGAGGCCAGGCTGGGTCATGAAAGGGGCATGAATGGAAGATGCCATTCCCCCTGCCGCTGGTTTGTTGCTACAGGAGGCCGGCTTGGTTGACTCTGGCTGACCAGTGAGGGACTTTAAGTGACTTTCCCCAGGTCCTCCTATGCTGTCCCAGCAGCCCATTCTCAAACCAAGTCTGTCTGATTTCAAATTCCTTCCTCC